CTCATTAACGATAGCCATTAAACATAATAGGACCTTGATGCACGTCTTTTTTTTTTTCGGATCAAGTTCGAAATGGCCGACTGGCGGCCATTTTGTTAAAGAATATTTTACCTATTTATAATTGATTCTAGTTTTGTAAACTACAAGTGTACATTATTAGGTAAAATAAAATATTTGATTGATTGATTGAATTCAGTTCTGGATCCGTATCCAAGACATGTCTGGATTGATCAAGTTCAAACTTCACACACAAATGGTACATCATGTCACAAATAGATATGTGCATTTGTTTCATGATCCGCTAAACAATAGCTGAATGATGGCCATTTTAGGGCCGAAAATGCATCAAAATCACGTATTTTCAAAATTCCGGAACCAGATCTCAGTCATGCATGGATGGATTTTGTTCAGATTTAGTCAAATATGAACGGAACGGGGACGTGTCATTGACAATGACTTGTTCAATTCCATTCTGTTGACTGTTGCTGTTAGGTTTGTATAACATTCTGCTGTTAATTCTGAAATTCAGTGACAGTATCCCATTGTAAATTTGATTTAAAATAACTTTTGAAATTTTTCCAGGACTAATTACTTTTATTTTTGGCTATAATTGCCCTTAAAATCATATTAGCTAGTGTGTGATTTCCAGTGTTTTCACATATTTTTTGAGCAGAGCAGATCACCAACCAGCTTGTTAATTTTAAAATTATTTGATTGACAATTTCTGTTTCATCTTGTGATGTTTTTCAGCTTTAATCAAATCCTGCAACCATCTTCTAAGTGTGGTGTTTCCTTTGAGACGAGACAATGGTGATTGGGAGATGATTGAAGGTTACCGTGCCGAACACAGTCAGCATAGAACACCATGTAAAGGAGGTGAGAGAATTCCACCTATGTATGAAAATAATGCTATAAAATTACCCTTTATAGAATTTTTTCAGTTTTTACTGTAAGTCAGTGTTTTAGCATGCATGTGAGTTTGGATTAAGTACTGTGCTAGCTGGCCACAGCGA